TTCATGGTGCAGTTAAAAAACATTCATTTCCTATTAACAGTCAGTCCTACAAGACTCCCGTCCTCCCTCTATCAAAGCGGTGAGTGATAAAAACACTACAGTGTGCTGGTGGATGATCAAGACACAAAATCATTCACTGATAAAACAAACTTCATCACTTTCATCAGGAGGCAGCCATGAAATGCGATGATGAAAGGCGTCGGAGATGGTTGGTGACCCTTGGACCGGTCGAGGAAGTGGTAGGACGAGCCGGAAAAGGCGCAGGAGGAAATGCGATGCTACCAAGCCGACCAATCACAGTTCTTGTGGTCTGCTTCGCCGCGACGTTACATTTTTGGGGAGTCAGGCTACGGCGTAGGGCACGGCGTAGGGCACGGCGTAGGGCACGGCGTAGGGCACGGCGTAGGGCACGGCGTAGGGCACGGCGTAGGGCACGGCGTAGGGCACGGCTGATGGAAACACGTACTAATTAACATTTTATTTTACTTAAAGGTTGCAACAATAAAATAGAAACTCATGACTTCCCTGCTGCACTCGAGTGGCACTGGCAACAGTATTCCATGTTTTAAAACACATATTCCATTTACAGCAATATATTAAGAGTTAAATGTTAACTTTCAGGCAGTCCATCAGGTCCTGCTTAGCAGTCTACTATATCTGCAGGGCAACCCTGGTTTATCTAGCATGCACCTTATACAAGCAGGTGAGTAAAGGATATTGTCGGTGTTTTATGTGTTGCATAAAAAAAAAAAGGTAAATATTAGGTTATTATGGGGTTTTACAGACTGTCAAACGTTCTGTTACATTTGACTAAATTATATGTTGAAGTAAGAAGATCAAGATAATTAAAAAAGATATTTCTGAAATTTCAGGCCTTTTAACAACCTGCAACATGTATGTAGTGCATCACCTGTGTTTGTGCATTTGAAAATCCAGTTTAATAAATAAAATAATAATCCTTATTTGTAGAGCACTTTCAAAAACAAGTTACAAAGTGCTTTAACAAGTGTAAAGACAGTAATACCCAAATATTCTGCTTACTAGTGGTTTCACATGCAATAAGTGCTGTGACATGAATCATCAGTGAGTGTGTTTTTAGATGGCTTTCATTTGCTGAATCATACAATAACACTCATTACAGCTGAACAGAAGGACGATGAGACAAGAGCACAGGAGAAGAGGTCAACTCTGGGCCTGATTAAAATGAAGATTAGGTTATACAAGTGTTTAATTAGGGACTAGCCTAATTAATGTACTTCAAATAAAAGTTGGTGTGTTTGTATGTTAGTGTATAAAAAAGGTCAATCATCCATCGAGCTCTGAGGAGATCTTCTGGATTTTTTCCCCCCACTTTTTTTGCTAAGGTTGGTAATCCCACATTTCTAAATTCAAGTTCAGCCCAATATGCAATATGTCAAGTGCTTAGCAAAGTAAAATGCATGCCGTGTTTCTGACTGCCCAAACAAATACCTAATGAGCCATGCCAGAACACTGTGAACAGAGCGGTCAGCTGGCAATGTGAGGTGATAAAATGTCAGCAAATGCAGCTATGTAGCTTGCTGTGTATGCCCATTCTGTATTTTTTAGTGGGTTTACTCCAGTTAATATTCTGTCTATGTGTGTTCTGCAGCTGTCAGAGCAGAGATCCCATCACGGCAGGTAGCGTGGGAATCTTTAAACTGTAAGCCCCAGGTTAAGGCACCCTGCTGGGGAGCACCTGACCACCTCCAGGGACCTTTTCAAATGCCACTAAATGATCTCTGGTCTTTCCGTGAGTCCACCAGCTGCAGAAACAACTCCATCTACCTTACGTTACGGCTGGGGGAGATAAGAGACCTTCTGAGGAGACTCCACTGCTGGGTCATGTCTGCCCTCACAAACACACACAGCGTGATCAGGGAAGAAGAAAAAGAGGGCACTTGTTATGTCATATGGTCATTTAGAGATGGTTTCTGTGATCTGACTACATCATGTTCTCAAACCCATAATGGAGAGCTTTAGGAGGACTGGACTGTCCCTTTTACAGTCCACCAGTCTGTGCTGGATGTGCTAAAGCCCACATGTGTCCTCCACCAATTGATGTAGCTAGACGGGTACACGGTTAACTAGAAACATATCGAATTTTTATGTCACTTGTTTTCATTTGAACGGCCAAGGGCAGTGCTGAGGGTGCAACTGTGAGTACACTTGACAAAGAGTTTGTAACGGTCAGCGATGTTTTTCGTTCACTTTCGGCATCAAGCATCCCATTGCACCCGGAACAATCTGAACACCATCTGTTAGATGAAGACGACGGTGGAGTGAAACAGAACTCCAGACCAGAGAGACTCATTCACTACGTCAGTGTTATAAAACTCCTGACATCACACAAAGCTCTAGATAAAGTATGACATACTGCAGAGAGTAAGAGGTTACCAAAAAAATAAATAAATAGAAACAGAGGAATGATAAATGAGCTGTGTGTTAATATGAGGTCAAACTCAGCAGGTGCCCTCCAGCCTGTCTCCTTTAACGCCTCTTCACCCAGTGAGGTGACCTTCACTGGCCAGCGCAGTCCCCCCGGGGAACCAGAGGTAAATAAACCACCGCTGAACCACAGTCCGGATAACAAGACGGTTGCTGTGGATCTCTTCATTAAAAAGGGGGAAAGGTTTGGAAGCAGCAGCGAGAAGAGACAGAAAAGAGGAGTGAAAATGTTACGGCGGGAGGTTTCTTTGTGAACAGTGGGTCGCATTCAGAAAATGTCACGCTGTAAAATGTCACACATCCCTCTTCATCCTCTTCCTCTTGTCTGCACTCAGCAAACTGTCTGCGCCGGGACGAGCTAAAGGCACACAAAGGTTGCATTTTTTTCCTTTTTCTTTCCACGGACTGTTGCGAGAAAGTGGTGACGCAAGACACACATCTGTCATTTCAGTCTTCACAACGTTAGTGTGTTTGCAGAATTTAATTATTTTGCAGGGAGAGGATCAGAGATGGAGCGATGAGAAGTGAAATAAACTGAGAGGGATTATGTGGATTGTGGATGTAATGAAAATGTTCCGTGTTGGCCACCAGCTAGACGTGAGCTGATCGCTTTGTCATGGATGATATGGAACAGATGGGGACAGCTCTGTTTTCAGAAAGAATTCACTAAGTATAGACTAGGACTGGGTATAAACATTGATTTTCAAATCCCAAAATTGCTCTTTGCATCTGTTCCTTTTCTCTATAAACATGTACATTTACACTAAATGTGTAAGCTGGTACAGTTTTATTTTCCTTGTTTGCATGTTTTGGGCCACAATTTAGCCTATATTATTTGATCTTAAAGGATTTTTTTTCTTCAAAGAAAACAATAATGTTGCTTACATGTGGAATAAAAAGAAATTATATTTCAGATGGACTTTCATAATTATGCAATATTGGTTAGTCTGGTGTATTATAATCTTTAAGAGTCAGTTCCAATTAAATCAAAGAGAACGGAGTCAGTATATCTGAAACTGAATCAAAACGAGAGACCGTACAGCTCTAGTTATAGACTATAGATATAGGAACTAATCACAACAAAAACAATCTTGAATCTATAAATATCAGAAAAATTGTGAAAACAACTGACCGCAATTTCTTAAACCTCAAGATGAGGGCTTCGAATTGTTCAATTTTGCTGACCAAAACCCCAAAACACAAAGAGCTTCGGTTTACCGAATCTGAGAATCTAGTATTAGCAATTTGCTGTGGGAGTTTTGCTCCGTTTGCACTTCTAAAATTTTAAAAATGAGTAAAATCTGGAAACATCAGGTGCTGTGCAATGCAGAGAAAAATCTTCCTGTTTTGGTTTTACAGCAGGCTTCAAAATCCATCACTTACTCATGAATAAATGATGGCATGAACACACACACACTCTACAACCATTAGCATTTAGATCCGCCATTGCAAAGCAATGAGAATAATAAAAAGGGCTGAGGAGTTAAATGGCTTTTCATACAGCTGCTGCCACAGTGATAAAGCTCATTAAATGCCTGGCTTTGACCCAACTGCACAAAGAGGATGTGGAAATGGGCGTGTCATTCTCTCAGTGTGTTCATATGGGAGGTGTGCTGTGTGCAAGTGCATATGAATGAGACTACAGCAGTGACTGAGCTGGGTACAGTCTTAATGTAGAGACACCAGGTCAGGGTGTCTGTCTGTCTGAGACTCCAGACAGAAATAACATTTGGAATTTTCTTCATTCTGTAAAATACTGAAGCTTAGTAGCTTTATCTGATTTTAAAAGATGCAAAATCAACAAAAATTAACAAAATCTGTAATTTTTCATCATGTAAATTTGACACATTTTTCTCAGATGATAAATAGAAAAGTTTGGGGTAAGACAGAAACATTTTTGTCGTTCTCAATCACAAAGGTGTTATGATTTTTATTAATGTAGACAGACTTTGAAAAGCCTCAGTAACATTAAAAAAAGTAGATTTAGTTGTCTAGTGTCTAGATTGTGAAAAAAGACAGAAAGTTTCCAAAGTATGGGATAATTTCAAGCTAAAAAATGTTGTTGTTCTCTGACTGGTTAGTCTGTGAGTTGGGGTTGTAACGTTGCAGTGATATGACAGCTATGCAGCTGAACCCAGTGCCGGGAGCGCCAAGCTAAAGTATTTCTTATCCGATTGTTCGATGAATTGATGAAATAATCTGTAGAATATTTGATTACTAAAATCATCGTTAGCTGCAGCCCTAGTTTTATTACTGAACGAAAGAAGATGATGCTTCTTTAAGGCCAGGGTATGCTTGAAAAGAAAGAGACAATCGCTATATAGAAGGGAGAGATTATTATTTAATTAAAAACACATTTAGACAGTTTCTCCTTCAAAGACAGACAATGACAGAAGTAGTCGTGTGAAAAAAACTCTGCACACCTGGTGGCAAAGGTCATTACATTATAATAACCTTGCAACACACTCAACAATGTGTTTTATAAAGGGACTCATTTCAAACATAAAATTGTGCTCCATTTGTTGTCTCTGCAGCTCTTCCCACCTGCCGACACCACCGTGAGCACGGGATTGGGTGGGCATCTATCAGGGGGATTGACAAAGAGAACCTTGTCAGAGAACATTAGCCTGGCCATCACAGTCAGACGCCTTCCCCCTCCCAGCGGCTCCTTGTTTAGAGGTTGAGGAACCAGCAAATTGGATTTTCACAGCTCCACTCTGCTTAGCATAAACTCCCTGCTCTTCCTATTCATGATGTAACGTGTCTGCGTCGGATTTCAAAGACTACACAACTGGGGCAGAGGGTGGTGTAATGGCCCAGAGCGGTGTCCTCGTTAGGGTTTTCAGCCGCAGATAAAAGGAGGATCTTGGAGGAAGCATGGAAGACGCAGTTCTTGGTTTATTTATACATTCAAAAAGTGTCTCGCTGTGACATTTTTTAGAACGGCGCTATCAAAACTTCAGCCAAGGTTTTGGTTTGTTGTTCATTAAACAAAACTTAAATTTAAAGAGCATCAATTTTATTTTTCTATTCTCCGAGTGTGCTTATGGTTCATTTCAGAAACATTTCACCACAACATGTAATTACGAAGCCATCCCAGTGAATTTATCCAATTACGTGTTAACTTCACTTAGTGAAATTTAAATTTTTTTTAACAATTATAATGTTCTGTAGTGTCGTCAAGCCGTTTCAAAATAGGGTTTTAAATGCATAGTCTTAAGCAATTCTAACATTTATTATCCAAAACATGTTAGAAATGGACAAAAATACATACTCAAAAATACTGGAAAGAAGGGCTTGGGCAGACGCAAAGATCCCTTATCAGATGCAGGGCTCAACGCTAAACTTTTTTGCAACTGGCCCCATCGGGCCAGTGGGTTTAAAAACTTGCTGGCCCCAACACAATTTTTACTGTCCCTCCTTCCAGAACTTATTTATCAGTGTTACTTACATAACACTGATAAATAAGTAAGTTATGTTATTCTGTTAACATGTTTAATCGTTTATTAAATGGATTCTGGATATAAAAAAAAAAAACTAAAACTAAAATGTAATTACAGTTAAAATTAACCTGTAAAAAATAAAAAAGGTTAACAAAACAATTTACTTTTAAAACAAAACATACTAACAGACTCAAACATGACGTGCTCTCTCCTGCTGACAGCCATTTAATAAAAAAAAATGTACACAGAGCAGCGAACACAAGTCGCCTCTATCGTGACTGACAGGTCGCCATGGTAGCAACTTGTCAATCACAAGGTAGGTAGGTCATTTTACCATTATTTCTAATGAAACCGGACTTCTTTTTGCAAACAGCGGACTCGCCCCCTGCTGTCCCGACGTTACTTTTTACTGGCCCCGGGCCATCAGGCCACCGTTATTGTCCAGCCCTGAACTGGCAATTATATTATTTGTATAAAATGTGTTATGACTGCACTCTATTTTCACTTGAAATCTGTTTCATTTTATTTCATTTCTCTACATTTTTACTACTTCAGCTACTTCCAATCTCAGATGTTGTTGTAATGCATTTGTTTTCTATATGTAAAGTACTTAAAATTGCCTCTGTGTTTGAAAGGCTCTACACAAATAAACTTGCCTTTCCATAATGACCATTTGTAAATTTTGTATGATCGATTGGTCATATGATTCCTTCCTTCCTGTGATGTGTGGACAGCTTGACGAGCGATACTGAAGCAGGAGAGAAGGTCTTCAATGAAATGACGCTTGGACGAGCGCGAGCAGCCCATTCAGAGCCGATTTCCAGCCAGTTAACTCAGGTTTTCATTGGCCTGGACTGTGAGGATTACACAGTATTATATCTGGAAACATAAAGCCTCTGGATTCATCACCAAGTCAAATCATGCCTGCTAAACTTCACCTCCTATCAGAACCGAACGGTATTTGAACTCGTCGAGATGCACCTGAACCTGATAAAAAAGCTGACGCATGTGTGATGAGATCGATGAAGAGTTCCACATGTTTTAATCATCATCTTCAGTCTGGCTTTGGGTCTAATGACACTGTCTCTCTCACGCTACCCAGAGGAACAACAATCAAGCGCTTTCACAAAAGCTACACTCCTGCATCCAACAGACTGCTGGAGTGGAATCCATCTTCATTATTGGCCGTGGCAAGCCATTACTTTTCCAAAGCACAGTCAGGCTCTCTCAGGCTACGTAGTACAAAGCTAGCATGCTACATTATTCCCATAGGGGTCCTGCTGCGCTTACTGCCAGTATAAATGTGTGGTTTGGACGCTGGGTTAGCGCGGTTAACCAAGCGCTCTCTGTTTTCATTCTTGGCCCGGCCCGTCTGTCAAAGATCAGCGAACATAGAGAAGGATGGAGTGTGTTTTGCAGGTCTTCATGTTGGTCCTGAACCCTCCAGTCCTCCCACCCCCTCACCTCCCAGATCAAGGAGGGTCAGCAGTGGTGGTTTTTAAGTTATGTAAAACAAGCCTGGCAATAATGAGCTAGAATTAAGGAAATGTCCTGATTTAACTTTAATTTAGACTTGTTTATTTAATGTTATTTTACCGGATAATGTTTTACTTATTTATTTCAGTTTCAATTAATGACTTTAATGTTATCCATTTTTGGGGGGCAATTTTAATCTGTTGGCTTGTGTAAAGCTCCTTTATCAAGTTAACAGCAAAATCTTGTCTTTTCAGTTCAGATTCTCACATAATATAGCTTCTGAAAGATTAAAAGTCTGGTGACACACGAGGTCTAAGTCTTATTTATTGTCAACAGGACTGTGTGTCTATATCATAGCTTGATATTTCTTATTCCTCTGTTCGATAGAGCTCCATTGTTGTTAGAAAAAACTATTATAACCCAGAAAGTATTAAAAGACAGATTAACACATTGTTGGTTCTGGTCTTTTCATGTTATTTCCCTTACAACACAAACAAATATACCTAGAATAACACAAGCTTTATCCTTTAAGAGGACGTGGTGAAGAGGAAATAATCCTGAGTTTCTCACCTTTACCACCTGCGCAGACTTTTTACAGTGAATTTTAATAGTACGGCCGTCTCAATCCCCCGAGGACAAAGCAAAGCTAAACAGAAATCAGCCACTGCCTGTGTCCTCCTCCTTCTTATTGTTTAAATCCGCTTGTTGTTCTTCAATCTGGTCAACGCATGAAATCATATTAGTTAAAACGCAATAGGAAATCCAGTTAAGCCTAAATACATTTATAAAACAATGTGGTCTACCATTTCAAATTCAGTCACAGCCTGCTGTGAAAATTACTCATTGGCAGATGGCAGGTGATCAGCCAGCCCCAACTGCTCTGCTATATCTAAGAACATAACAGATGGAAAAAAAGAGAGACAGAAGAAATGAGAGAAGAGGTGGAGGAGGTTAGTAGGAAGCGAGCCAAGAAAATGATGCAGAGCTAAGAAAGAATACAAACATGGAGGTTATCAGCATGAACTGTAAGAGTGCCAGCAGTGTAAAAACACACACACACTATGGGCAGGTTAGCATTTGGTACAAATTCCTAGACTACCGAAATTAAGGTGTAATAAAAATGGCAATGATCCCTGAGGGGACATTCATAAGGAAACTATTTTGCATCAGTAATTATGTTTTGGAAGACACGAAATGCTGCTGCTGCAATATGTTCACTGCCAACATGTTTTAGTGTGATATTGCTTCACTGCACACTTACGTATAACTACGGTGTGGTTACCATTATTTTAGGGCTGGAGAAAGACTTTGTGGTTGCGCTGAATAAAAATGTAATCAGTCACACAGCATGAGATGTACAGATCCCGGTAAGTCAGGGGAACAAACATTATTCCAGAGAAATTGTTTGGCAGAGGTGATAAGCCACCCACATCCTGATGGATCCTATCTCATGATCTAGCAGATGACAGTCTAAACATTAAATGCAGAACATGCTGTATAAAATGGCGCCTTTGCTACCCTTAAGGTCGACGTATTAGTTCATAAATGTGTATGAAGTTTTATCTAGCATTAGTGGAGGTGGTCCGCTATAAAACACTGCAGCAAACCCTGAATTTGTGCATATAAATAGGTTACTTGTGTCAAATCAATTAATTTCTGCTCTCAAACTATGATGTGTTAAACAACAGGGTTAATATTTCAACATATGTTTAAGCATTCTCAAAGATAACACTTCATTTGCCTACAACAGGGAAAATAAGGAGTCCATCCATGTATGGGGATTACCATAAAACTCTGAGTGACAGCCCGGGCTTTTATTTGCTAAAAATGACTGAAGTGACCCTGCCTATATTTGGGACAGGCCTTTAATTCCTCTTGCACAAAAGTGAAATAGGCTACTATGAACAGTTTTTATTAACAGAATATTACTTGTATAAAAATTATCCAATGAAACCAAATAGACGTCATTCATTTGATTTAGCTCCAACAGACGGCTTATGTGCTTTTATTTTGAAGGCAGCAACATAATGAAAACATCACGGTGCAGGAAGAGGAAAAAGTGGGAGAAGTTAGCAGACAGAGAGCGATGGACATGACAGGATTCACAACTTGGATTCATTTTTATGAAAAGCTGTTTTGATTCTTTTGATTGGTGGACCCTCAAAAGAACTCCAAAGAACTTATATAAAAACCAGACCAGGCGTCTAATGGCGACCTGCGTTTATTTGTCAAAATGTGTTCCCACACCAGGCCAGGAAACGGGGCAGGCGGCTGTTTGGGACTCGGCCAATAATTGAAGTTTTACGGTAACTCGCTTTTGGAGCCAGTCTCAAGTGGCCACTCAAGGAACTGCAGTTTTTGGCCCTTCTTGGCTGATGCATGCTCCTCCCTAACTTGCTGCAATAACAACAACTGTTTCTTCAGTCACCTTGAGTTTCTGTTGTGACAGTAACTTTACTCTCTTTCAAGAACACAAACTAATAATTTTTGTAAAAAAGCCTGACATTCACACACTTCTCACCGCACACAGACTGATCCGCTGCTTCCTTCACTGGCTTTGAACATTACCACTGAATGTGATGTGTCCAATAAACACATTTCCACAAAAACAGGATGTCCTAATTATGTTTCACTGAGTCTTTCAATAGGGAGAATCTGCAGGTACAAAGTCTGACCCAATATTTATATTTTACTATATAATACAGCTGCAGACACAGTCGACGCGGACTGCAGGTTTTAGCTGGTTACAGTTACAGCATGGGCAAATTAATGATGTCATTGTCATTTCCAAACGTGAGAGTGTGTGTTTTTTAAAATGCACACACACACACACACACACACGGGAAGATAATTTAATTATATTAGTGTAGTACAATCCCACCTGAACAGCAGCAGCACTGCCAAAACATCCAAATACCTCTAAAGCCGCATTTCGACCAAATGAACTTTACCCCAGAACTACTAACCATTGGAATAACTCACTGCGTTTCCACAGAAGGGACCAGGGTCTAAATTTAGTTCTAGGGTCTTTACTTTACCCCCCAAAAAGTCCGTGATCGGGGGGGGGGGAGCTTGCCTTGCAGTG